AAAAGCCGTTATATGTGAGGTATTTTATATGAACAAAAATTAAATACTAAAATATAGAATTTTAAAAATTATAAAATTTTTCAAAAATTGTTATTGAGCTGAAAATCTCAATTTTTGATAGTTTATATTTTTTATTATTTTAAAATTGAATAAATTTTCATTTTAATAATTGAGCCAGTAAAAATTGAGTATACTGTTCTTTAAAATTTAAAGAAGTCATGCTAAGCATCTTTTGAATATTTAAGTTCCTAGACTGAGATATTATTAATAAATAATGATAAAATATTAATATATTGTGTTAAATAGTATATATAAATAATTATACGATAAAAATGACATTACATGTAATATAATATATATTTTAATTTTAATTGAAATTATCACTCATGAGATATTTTAATGCTTAAAATTGTTAAACCATTTAAATCTTGATTCTTACATTCTTCCGTTTATTTATCGTTCGTTCTTTTATTGTGTGCATTTACAGTTTTAAATTTTTATATAAAAAAAGAAATTGATATGTGATGTAAGAAAAAGAAAAAAAAGTGTTGTGGTCGTTGGAAGAAACTGAAAGACTACAAAATTGGTATGAATGGATGGATGAGGCGGATCAAGTGGGCAGCATTTAACCTGAAATGGTTAAACACTGCACATAATCCTTATTATAGACAAATCAATTTCTAGTGAGACTTAGCTCTCAATGCATTTATCTGTGGATCATCGTTACATTGCTTTGGATTGTCTTGTGTCTGCAGTTCAAAATCAACTGCAGACAATCTCTGCCATTACAAAATCTTCTTTATTTAATATATTTATAAATACTTTTAATCACAAAATAATAATCACACACTGTTCAATTCGATTCCGGAGCTAACCATTTCCTCATCATAATAACATACTTCGTGGCCAAGAAAACATCAAATCAACGCACCTACTTTTACTGTGAACTTTGATTAATTATACATTTCATCTTTCAATCACTGCTTAGAAATATAATAAAAATATACTTTTAAAAGTCCAATCAACTAACTCACCAAAAGATACAATACAATCTGCTTTGATGGAGATATTCTTGATGGCTGTTCCTTTTTAAGATTTAACGTGAAGTGCACGTCTTTTATGAGTAAATTATTTTTATAATCATTTTTCACTTTAAAGTTTTTCTCAAAACTATTAAAAGGTATTCTTTATATTTTTTTATATTTTTTACATGAAAAACAATTCATTTTGAAACATACACATATATTATTATGAGTTTAATTTTTTACATTTTCAATTAATTATAAATATTCTGATATTATTTTTATATTAAATATTACAAAAGTAATAATTACTCAAACTAATAATAAAAACATTTTTAACAACATAATAAAAATAATAATAAAATATAAATTTTGAATACAAATATAATTGATAGAACAAAAGCAATAAAGTTTATGATTAAAAACTTTTTTATAAGATAAAATTCATGTTAAAGACATAAAGAAAATATATTTAGGTTGAATTTGACTAATCTTTTAGACGAGTATTTATATATTTAAAAATAAATTGATTTTAAGCTATGAAAAGAATTGATTTATTTTATATTATTGGCAGTAAGATATATATAATCAATATTTATCCTTATAGATCGAGTTTGTATTAAATTAACAATTTAGCTAACGTTATAATTAATTTTATCTGACATTTTAATATATAATACTGAAATGAATAACGCCACCAATCATATATTGAATTCGAACACTTAATGACAATATTATTCTATTTCCTAAAAGTATATTATTCCAAATTCATTGTTTCAGGATTGATTGGCTTTTTACGTGCATTTGTGTTATGAATTGAAAAAAGTAATGGTTAAGTCAAATTTAGCCAATATTTAAAGTTAATATATTCAAACAATAATTAATAAGATGGCTTTCTTTTTTTTCACATGGTTACATTTCTTTGTTTTCCCAGTTATTTATTTACTTTTTAAAGTACAAGGGTTACATTCCACTCTTTCTTTCATTGTCAATGGTATTTTATTCTAAAATGTACCAACCTTTTTCCTTGGGTAATCATAACTCTCAAACTTTTCAGTTTGATAATATTAATTCCTAAACTATAGTTCAATAGTTTTCATAATAATGTTCACTTTCTTGGACGAACTCTTTCTTTAGTCAACCAGCTATCCAGTTTTTTTTTTGCTCAAAGCCCAATAAAAATTGGCCTTATACAGAGCATGAGGCCCGATTGAGGAGGCCCAGAGGCTTTCAAAAAATATTTGACACATACATGGGCTTAGCCGCTTAGACATTTTTTGTGTGAGCATACTTATCCTTTATTTGTGCTTCAGCATGGTTGATAAAAAAAAAAGAAGGTATTTCAGCAGGAAATAGATTTTGTGGGAGCATAATTGCATAAAAAATTAATTAAATATATAAGAAACAGATTAATTACACTGTAATACTTTCGTTTTTAAAATAAACTGACGAGTCTCTCCTAATTTAAGTATAATTTTACACAAAATTTCGTTAAGAAAAATAAAGGAGGAAAGATTAATTTATCAAATAAAATTCCCCTGTAATTAGCGCTAAGTTTGTGAAAAAGAGTGTGAATCCAAAATTAGTAACAAGTTGTACACAAATTTTCATGTTTTTTCTTCATAAAAGAATGAAGTGGATAGGTTGCTTCACCACAGAGATAAGGTGTAGAAAGTGGTTCTAAACGTTGTGTTTGTCGCCGTCGCAAGAAAATAAAAGAAAAGAATTTTCAACAAAAATTTTATTGTTTTAGAAAAGCATTTAAAAAAATAGAAAAAAAGTATGAAATTCAAAAATCAGTTATAATTCATTCGAGAAAAGCCGTACCTGAAATTAAACATATAATTATAAAATTATGAAAATTGTTAAATTTAATTCCTTGAAAATATAAAAAAAATACAGATAGGTTAAACAAATATTTTAACCCAGCAGAATACTAAGTTTGCTCTTAACTTTTCCTTAATGTGATGGGAAGTTCAGAAGTCATGTAATTTTTTTAGAAAAACAACCGTCGATAAGTTATGAATCGTTTTGTGAATTTTATTTTTATCCTATTGGCAGTAAGATGTATTTTACATATCAAATAATATAAATAGAACATCAAGTATAAAAATATGATAAAAATTGCATGCCCTTATAAAAGTAAAGTTGGGGGCTTGGGGCAAACCAGTCATGATGCAAACCATTTTTATATTATATTTTACATATATATATATATATACACACATATTCATCCATATTCCCCTTTCTTTTCTTTGTCTTTTTAATTGTATTTCACTTATTTTATTTTTACTAACGTTGATTTATATTCTATCAACCTAGCATTATTTATTTTTATTTATCATTACTATTAATAAAAGAAACCAAAATGTTTGGAAGATTTTATAGAAAAAAAGTTATAAAAATAATTTATAAAATTTGTACGCTCATTTTTACTCATTTCAATATATATTTTTAAATATAATTTATCACACCTTCAAAACTTATTTTTATATAACATAATTTTATTAAATAAATATTTAATTAAATTATTTATTTAAACACACTTAAAATAGATACTAACTCTCGTTATTTTTGGGTTTAGGAGAATTAGCTAATCATCAACAGGGCAAGAAAGTCGAAAGCTCAAGTCAAGTTCATAAAAAAGTAAAACTGCAAAAGCATATAAAAAAGGTTGAGAATCCCATGTTTAGAAAATTTGGATCCTCTCCATTTAATGGCTTAGATGGGTCATTTGAAGTTTTGTTGGCTAGCCTTGTTATACTATTTTCTAAATATGCCCCAATGTGTTGTTCTGACCTTTTCTTCTTATGTGTAAAGAAAGTTTATTGTGTTTGGCAAAGTCAGATAAGAAAAATAAAATAAAATAGTGGACAATAAAAGAAAAAAGAAAGGATTTTTGTAGTCAATTATGACTTTTTTTTTAAAAGACAGAGCTAGCTTTGAGTGGAGAATAGGTTGTCGTTTGTTTTTCTTTATTTTTTCAGTTTCATGTTTTTTTGTATGTTTTTGAGTGAACATGTTATAGTTTATAACGTTTATTTGTTATAACATCGTAAAATTACTCAGGTAAGAATAATTATTTTATTATTTGATATAAGTGTCGTAAAACTATTTTTTAAAACTTAAATCCAATTGCTTTTACAAAATAAAATAACATTTGAGACAAAGGTGACTTAAGGGCTTTGGTGGAGTGATTTGTTAAGTGAAAATTAGGAAAGAGAGACTCATAGTGTGGATCTTTGGTGAGGAACAAGACTAATCCATGTATGTGGGGTGTGAGCATGTTTCTTGGAGAATTCATGTATTAGTATGTGATGAGATATGTTGTGTTCATTCTTCTTGATTAAGTTAGGTTGAATTGTAAAGGTAGTCATAATGATTTATTGTCCTTGAGCCAACTGAGCTTAACTCACCAATTGGGTTAATAAAATATAATTCCAGTCATACAAATCTAATTAATCTGTTGGTGAAAATCTCGTGATAAATCACATCACAAGCATCAGCAGAATCTATTTTTACAAGTTAAACATGAACGATTATTTATTTTTAAATAAATTTATTAACTTCATTCTTTAATATTAACTTCAAAGTATATAAAATATATGATCTTTAATTGTTTAAATTTAACGCTTAAAGTTGATTTGACATTTTTTTAAAGTAAGTTGAGTTAAATTTATCTTTTTATTAAAATAATCCAACCCAGCCTTATTTATTTTATGATCAATCATGTAATGAACTAATCCAAATATTTAATTTAACATAAGAATGTCAAAAGACGTAAATTAGTTTTTTGACACACATGAAACCAGTAAGTGCAAGTTTAGATCTTCTAAAGATTGAAAAAAATAAATGAATATTTTTTAAAACCAAACAAATACTCAGCTTCCCTTTCAAATTATGTTGACAAAATACAACTGTTTTCTCTTTACTTGAATATCTTTAAATTTGTATTTATCAAAATTTTTACTAAATACTTAGTTATATATATCTCAAAGTAATGAAAAGGATACTGAAGCTGAAACTTGACATTGACTAACAAAGAACAGTTAATAATAAAGTTCGCAACTCGTTTCCTCGAATTGAACCTTTCATTCTGTACACCCTAAAAATCAAATCACCTTATTCAACGATAGTTTCTTTTCTTGATATCAATAGCATGAACTGTAACTTTCAAACCCCACATAGAGGTTTTAAAAAAATAATAATAAAGGATGAAAAATAGAAATCAGGTGGTGTAAATGACCCAATGTTGTCCATCAACGTTTACCTTCAGATTGTGAATTCGGACAAACAAATCAACGGCTCTTCTAACCCCTCTATTGTCCGCGGCAGTGAAATAATCATGCCCGAATATAACTCCACCGGGTCGGAGGATCCGATAACCGCGGTTTATATCTGACCAAGCCGATAAAAAGTCATGACCCGCATCTATCTCTACCAAATCCCCGAATATGCCCCATTCACAAAGCTCCATAAGTGCCGACCCGCTTGAAAACGGTACGGGTAAAACCGATTCGGTTTGGTTAAATGTCACCACATTTTGGAGAAACTGGTAATAGAGCAAAACGTCGCCGTTTACCATCGGTATTTTTTTGAACCGGTCCCTAAACCCGGCCCAACCGCGAAAGTCATCGATGCAGAGGATCTGGGTGTCCAGACCGTGTTGGCGAGTCAACTCAGCCATGTGAAGCGCCGAAGCACCGAGGAACGTGCCCACTTCCACGATGGTTCGAGGCCTCACCTTGCGAATCAGGTTCTCGAAAACAGCGCCACTGGAGCCCCATCCTTTGATCCTCGTCGTTCGCCGGAGATTATTCGCGGCGTGCGCCGGCGGGAACTCGTGAAACGGCGAGGTTCCGTTGAAGAGACGGTCGATCAGCGTCCGGCGAACAGTTTCCGGTGGAATTGGATTGGTGCAACGAGTCGTGACTCGGAAAGGATCGAGTTCGGTGGAATCAACGGAAAACCGGAGAATGGGTTGTGGCGGTGGAGGTGGCGGAGGTAATGAGGTGGAAGAAGGGTGGGATAAGTAACCCAAGATGTAAGTTAGCAAGAGGAGGATAAAATACGCCGCGGGTTTTGCTGATTTAACGATTGTTGGTGTTAGTCTTCTATTGTTGTGGGAGTGCTCTGTTTTCATGTTTGTGGGAAATTCGGGGGAAAATAGGTTGTTAGTTGTTGTACTATTAAGTACTTAGGAAACAGAAACCGTTGGTGGTTGGATATATCATAGGAATTCTCTACTGTTTCTTTCTTTTTTGTGTGTGCGTTTTTGTTTTGGTTAGGACTTAGGACATTACTACCGACAAGTAATGACCACAGAAACCAGGAAGAAGAAGAAGGATAGTTCTTATGAGTGTTACGTTTTTGGAATTTGGTTGCGTAATTTTACCCTCTCATTACTGCTCCCTACTACATGGCCTTTAGTTTGACCATTCATTTTTGCTCATAATATTTTATTCGGGTTGTTCGTTCATATCTAATATTAATGAATGGGACATGGAAATTAAATTACATATCTGCCTATAGTGAATTGTGTTTCTTTTAATAATATAGGTTTTTTTCATTTAAGTCAGAATCTGCAGTATAAAGTATCACTATTATTGTTTATTCCTTTTACAAATGTTTTATTTAATGCAATGGATTCTTTTCACCATTTTGAGATAAAAGAATTAAGAAGCTCGGTAAGAATTGATTTGAAAATATTGGGGGAATTAATAAAGAAATAACAAGCAGATACAGTATCTGGATGCCTTGTTTTAGAAGTTCACTAAAGTTGGTATGCTATTTTTTATAACAAGGATTTCAATGAAAGCTTCCCCATATGTTCTCTTTTCTTTTTCTTTCTGTTAATTTCTCTTCTTTTTTACTTTTAATTACTTTTTCCCTGAAAACTCATAAAAATTTAGCGAGGGTTTAGAGATCAAATGATTTTTTAATTTTATATTATTCTCATTTCTCTTGTCTTCTCATTTTTTAAATTATATTTATCGCTCATGTTTATGATTTAAAACTCAGAAATTGACATAATTCTTAAAACGCGAGAGAAACGAATGTAGTCATACCAAACTTTAAGGAATATAATGTAATTTACTTTCTTTAATTTTTATAATGATTTTGCTGAGGCATTTGTTTGTCCCTAAGCAATTCATTTATTGGTAGAATAAATTAATAAAATTGATGAAGGAAGCATAAGCGTAAAATACGAAAAGTATTCCCTTTGGTACCTACTGAAAGTGAAATAAAACAATATTATACGATAAATATAAATCAGGTCAAATGGCGATCAAAATAGAGTACAAAACAAGGATTAGAATTTTTATACCATCCCTGCATTTTCTAATATATAGGAATATTAAAGTTCATATTCCAGCTCATCTTCCAATTCTCAACTAACAACCAAGAGTTGAAAAAACAATACATTGTCTATATGATTTCACTAATGTTTCACTGTCCTAATAACAAAGTTGAAACTTGATCATATAATTCAAAATTTAAAATTTTCAACGTAATGAGATTTTGCAAAAAAGTTAAAACTCATAAAAACTCATTTTAATATTTTATCGAATGATTAACAATAGAGTAACTTCTACAAAATTATAGAAGTTTTTTTAAAATAAAATAAAATAAAATAAAATAAAAACACTCCTATGTAACACAAAAGAAATTCTCCCACTAGCTAGCTCTTTTTCCCCCAAACAGCTTTCAATTCGATTTATGATCACGTCGACACTTATATTATGTCGTTTAAGATGATTTAAGAGAGAAAAATGACAAGGTAGAGAATGTTCACTTCCATCCTTTGGGAGGAGAGCATGGGAGGTGAAAAGAAAGAAAAAATATATAGTGAAATCCAAAATATATATAAAAAAAATCTGATCTCTAATAATTAAGATATTTTACCCAGAAATGCAAAAATTCCACATTTTCGATGAAAAATAACACACTAGCTAACTACTATGTTTTATTCTTTATAAGAATTTTTTTCATGTAACGAAATATCAATTTTTTCTTTTTCTTTATTCAGCCAAATAAATAGAATGAAATCTCGACTTCTCTTTCTCTTCATCTCCTTTAATACCTTTCTTAATCTAAAAAGCATAAAAACTTACCCTCACAATTTGATTTGATATCCAATGTGTTTAATGGATGAGAAATGTTTTATTTGGTAATAGAATAGTGGATTTTATATACTGTTTTAGGTTATTATCCAAATATTACAAGTGATAACAATGATAAAATAGAAATTTAGCTTAACGACATGATGACAAATGGCATTTCATTGCATTTTTTTGCACTTGCAATTGTTTCTTTGTTTGTCTTGTAATAATAATAATAATATTGTAGTTAAAGGCTTAAATTAATATATTTTAAATCAAATTAGACTATTTTCTAGTAATTAGAGTAAAGTAATTGATTTTGATAATTTTATATTTTGCTAATAGACCTGGTGTACTACCACTAGCTAACTACTAGCAAACATTATTGATTTATTGGGCTAGATAGCAACACAATTTGAATAAACGACAAAGCCCAATCAAACCCACGCCCGTGCTGGCATTTGAAGTCCACTAATTAATGACAAAAATAAAAAATTAAACCAATTCACCTATTACTTGACGGACTCGTGGGAGACCAAAAATTTTAAAAATAAAGTGGACGAATAACAAAAGCAAAAATAAAGCCCTCAAGTTTAGTATTAGTGTATGAAGAGGTAGCTCAGTTATATATATATATATATATATAAAAGGGCAGAATTTACAACTAGTTTTTAGATTTAAATTAAATAAAATATTCAGATTGAGTGTAAGAATTTTTAGATTTACACTAATATAAAAAATTATTTTTTATATATATATATGAAAAAGAAAATTAGGGTCTAGTTTTACTTTTAGCTTAACATATTTTTGTTCTTTTAAAATATAGTATCTTTTGAATTTTTTCTTTATAAAATTATTTTTTATTTTAATCTCTGAATTTTTAAACATTATTAGTTTTGATCTCTTTTACTATCATGACTTAACGAAAAAAAATGACACATATCACAAAAGTTGAGCTGTAATAACATTTGAATTAATCACATCAACTTTCAAAATTTAATATATCTTAAAAAATTAAAAACATATTCAAACCTTAAAAAAAATCTATCCCTTCCCTTATTCGTAGGGATTTCAATATCTTTAAAAGTGATAGCTAACATTACTTGAAAGCTTTGCTATCGTTATTTTTTTAAAGAAAAAAAAAATTCTTTCCAACATAAAATAAACTCTTATTTTTCTGTAACAAAAATCTTATGTATTTTTCTAAAAAATATTAGTGAATTAAGTTTAAAAATTATGGAAAATAAATAAATAGATGAACTTATTTATTTAAATCTAAAAATCTATTTAGTATTTAGAGTGTGTCGCTAATGCTCTATCGTCTTGTATGCGGTATTGGATTGAGTAGAGTAGAACTTTCACTTCTTTATTCATCTGATTTTATATAGCTTATGATAGTTGGTTTGATATTCATTATATATTGTACTACATATAGGAAGATGCATATCTACATAGAACATTCTCATTCCTTTCACTGTGGTTTCGTTTCGCTCTCCACCAAAGGCAATATGATCGAGTCAAAAACCTCATTCTTTTATTTAATGTTTAATTTTGGTAGAGATCATACGACTATGACCACTTTTCACAATATTTATACACTCCAAATGAAAAAGAAGATGAACTCACTTTAATTATACAAACATGTGACGAATTCAAAAGAAAAACAAGATACAACAAAGGGCTGCTAAAATTAGAGATAAGTAATGTCATGTTGCCACTTCGTGCAGAGGTGAAAGGTGGAAGTTTCTTGTTTCGTACCAATCTCTATGATTGCTTTTGAAATTTCAAGGCATATTTTAAACAAATTTGAATAATAAAAAAAAAGAGAAATTCAGTCATTAAAAAGTGGTCATTGTTTTTCATTTTTGGTATCTATAAAAAGGTAGTTGTTACACGGTGTGTTTCATTTCAACCACGTGAGGTATCGCTTTAAAGACATTCTTTTTTTCGTAGAGGTCTCCTCCAACTACATGACCAAATGCTCCTTATAATATTCATAATTGGTGACTCACGTGATAAATTAGTGCTTAAAGGGATTCAAATTACTTTGCATCATCACATAGTTCTTTAAAAAAGACTGATCATCATAAATTTTATCATTAGACGAATCTTTCAATCTTTTTTGGGTATTATTACTTGAATCTTTCATAGAAATTAATACAGCAACGTTTTAAATCTATAAAATATTATGAATGTTGATATTGTCCGTTCCTTCTGAATATGTTGCACAGGGATTTTGTTTCCAATTTCTTGTCGGCTGCGCCTACTTTCACAGCCAAGTTGATATGCCATTGACCCTGCTTAATCAATTTCAATACAGCTAAAAAAGATTAGTGTCAGTGGGCATGAAAAACGTTAAAAAATTATTTAATTTTTAATTTTTAATAAATTTCAGTCATTAAAAAAGTGTTAAAAAAATATTAAAAATGATGCTCCGAATTCTCTTCTAGCGGCCATGACTGCTTTGCCACTGCAATATGCTCAATCATTTCTTGTCTTAGAAAATGGGATGACTTTGAAACATTTATCGATGTAATCATGCAAAACCTGACTTGGGTGTTATTAGCGAAAAAAGGTGCCATGGGGGGAGCCATTAACCATGATCCACCGTTTTTTAAAATGACAATTTTGAAATTTCATTTGATATTTAATTTTATTAACTCCATGAGAATACAATAAAATGGGTCCTTGTATTGGAAAGCAGCATCCTCCCTTGGAAATAAATAGCAGTTTATATTGAAAGCTACTTTAGCTTCAAGTGGAGACTTAGAAAATGTATTTAGTCAATTCCAATTGGATTATATAATCTGGGGAAGGCAACAACTCTGACTTGCCTTACCCTGCTTTCTTGTGCTGCGTCCACATCACATACAACCTAGATTCACATAGATTTTTCCTTTTACCAATTTTTTAAAATAACAAAAGATGTTTCACATAAGTACTGGGAAATTTAGTTCCACGTATATCAGCTCATTATGTCATGTTATGACATGTATAATTAATATTTTGTGGATTATAAACAAAAATTGAAAAGAGTGAATGAACACTCAAAACAAGGATGGATCTGCCCTTCACTTATCCTAAGGGACTTTATGATCAATTTGATTTATAATTGCAAACCTGAACTAAAAACGTACAAAGGAAAAAATAATTGAAGCCTGCACTAGGAAGTAAAAAGCATCCACCAACAAGCATTTTGAAAAGCTTAATAGG